TCAGGCCCCCTGCTCTGCCCCCTACTCGCCTACCCCCTCCCCCCCCCAGGGCTGCGTTCAGACCGGGGCGCCCAGGGGCCCCAGCACAGCGGGGCGCGGAGCCCGGGCAGCGGACGTTGAGTGTTCTGGTGCCCATGGCTCGCGGCCCTGTCTGTGCGGCTGGTCGGGTGCACACCAGGCCCCCTGCTCGGGAGCCGGCTTCGCCCTGCCCTGGGCGGTCACAGGGCATCACCGACAGGAGCCTGCGCGTCTTCCCATGCACCCCCCCCCGCCCCGCCCTCTGCCCACGCGCAGCCGGGCGAAGCGCCTGCCCACGCAGCTCCGCGGGCGCTTTGGAGTCACCGGGGCGTGTTCAGCTTTTCCTTCCAGGCTGTGCCATTTGGGTTCCCCTCTTGTAACCGTTTCCTGGGTCGCCCAGTGCCTTCTCCTCTCGGACACCCCATAGTCTGTCCTCCCACCCCATCTCGGGAGTCGCACATGCCTCACTTCCCTTCCTGGGGCCGTGGATGGGGAAGCGAGCAGCCAAAGGGGTACACGTGGGTCCCCCTCACGCGGTGAAGGACATCCTCTCTCTCCTGGTGATCCTCCAAGGGGCTCCCACACTAAGCAGTGCAGTGCAAGGGCCTAGGCCTGGTCAGCAGCTTAACCTCCATTTGCAAGACCTTGTGAAAAGCCGGGTAGAAGGCCATGGGCCCCTGCTTCCAGTCACCTGGGCTCAGCAGCTACCACATCAGGGGTTAGGCAAATGCAAAGCTACTGCCGTAAAACCACAGACAACTCGTGACAGCACTTAAAAACACTGAGCATTTCCTGAGCTCAGTCCTGTGGAAGTTCCCCAAGGCACAGAGAAGGCATCTGGCCCCCAGAGCTGGGTCTCTGCCTCCCCTTGGTCCAGGCTTCCTACAACACTGTTTGGCCATGCCACAGAGAAGAGCATCTCCCCCCAGGGAGCTTCCAAGAGCCCCTCTTTAGCTAAAAGCTAATGCCCATGTTTGTGATAACCATGAGCAAGGTGCGTCCCCAGCCTGAGGGTGAAGTGAGAGCAACTGCACCGGAGGGAAATCCTTTGTTACATTGCCCCAGTGTAGACATGGCACCAACGTCCCACACCAGCCTTGCCCATCACCCCTCCTCCCACCCCCAGCCCCGGGCTCAGGGCTAGACGCAGGAGAGACCCAAAATGAGAGAGAACTAGGCCAGGAAGTTACTCAATAGATTCATTTGCAGGAAGGGCATTCCTATCCTGCGTCCCAAGAATCTGCATTTGTGACATCAATACAATTAGAGCAATTAGAAGGGAATGTGCATCAGGCTGGGGAGGGCAAGGCACTAGTCTGTTTGTGTGAAAGGCGGATGGGGCCTAGTGACACAGGACCATTTCCTGGAGAGGCCAGTGGGCTGAAGACATGGACATGTCAGTGTTTGGGGGGCCGGTGGAGCTAGTTCACATAAGGCATCAGTATGGGCAAAGGGTCAGGTGTCAGTCACCAAATCAGCAAAGCAAATATAGCGTGTCCCCCAAGATTTGCTGCGCTTAAGCTTTGTCCCCCGCTGGTCACAGCACCCTGCCAGCTGCACAGCATGAGGCAAGATCTGCAGCCAGGCATGCTGGTGCCCAAGGTTGGGGCAAAGCAGGGCAGGGGTGGGGTCCCATTCCTGGTTTGGCATGTCTGCTGGTCGAGGTGCAGGTTCCAGCCCAGGGATGGGGCAGCTCCAGGGAGAGCGAGCGGAAATGTGCCCTCCCTTATTTAATCGCTACAGAGATCTGGAGAGGCCCGAGGGAAGGGCTGAGTGGGTCAGGGAGTTCCCTGATGTGGACAGTTGCTCCTGCGCTTTCAATGCTGTATATTCGACACACTTACACACTGGCCTAGATCTCTGGAAGCGCTTCCAGGCCCGTGCTGCCAAGCTGCTCAGCCAGGCTGCCTACTGGAGTCAGGGGGACCCGATGCCTCTCTCCAGCAGAACGTGCTCTTTTAACGACTCTCCAGCTGTTGCTGCTCCCTGCCCTGTGCAGGGCTTCTGCTGCTGCTCTCCCTGATTACAAGGCTGGGCTCCCCCCAGCCCAGCTCCTGGTGCTGACACCCTGCGTGAAGAGATCCTTCGCATTCCCATGTCCAAATTCAAACCATCTTGTGCCCTTTCTCCCATCAACCCCCCGCTCACAACTGAACTGCCCCCACCTGCAGCAGAGTTTACTGGGCCTGAGCCCAGAGCTGACATCATCATACCAGGCAAAAATCGATCCCCTGCTGCCTCTGGCTGTCTAGTCACCCCAACTGCAAGGCCAGGCGCTGGGGTACAGGGAGCAGCCCTAGGCTGGGGGTTAATTCAGAGAGACTCGGTCTTCAGCAGCGCTGGGACTCAGCCCCCCGCCTTCGCAGGCATCTGGCTTTTCACCCTGCAAAGACAGAGCTCGGTCAGGGACCCCCACGACATTCCAGACGCAGGGAGGGGCGTCGAGAGGAAACGGCTGCAGCGCCGGACCGCTGGAGCACTAACAGCCTCGGCCCCTGCCACGGCCACTGCCTTGCGCCCCGCACCTCCAGCCGTGGAGGCTCCCAGCAGCCCCTGGCCTTTAGCCCCAGTGGGCACCCAGCCAGGGAGGCAGGCAGGCTAGAGGTGCTTGTTCTTTGGGCGGGCAGGGCAACAGCTAGCCCAGCAGTTTCACCAGGAGAGGGGTGTCCCCGAATCTGGCTAGCGGGCAAGAGCTGGCCGAGGCGCTACTGCAGCTCGTTGCCCAGAGCCCGGGGAGCAGGGCGCTGTGACCGTGCTGCACTGGGAACAGCTGCATTCCCAGGGTCCACTCACCGTGTACAGCTCACAAACCATCCTGAACAGAGCGGTCTGGGCTCGCGCCTGGAGAGCGTCCGTGTGTTTCTGAGCAGGAGAGAGAGAGGACAAAGCTGTGTCAGCGGCTGGACAAGCCCATTCCCAGGCTCAGCCGCTGGCTGGAGAAAGCAGGCAGGGCTCAGTAATTCCTCCAGGAGTCTCTTGCTAGGGCGGCTGCCTGGAACACAAGCGACAGCTCCGCTCCCGACGCACAGGACGAGATGGAGTGAGATCGGATGGCGCTACTGGCTGCGTCAGTCGCTGCCTGCATGGTGCCCTCAGCATTCACCTGGGGCCCTGTTTCTTTGAGCAGCTGCAGAATGGGTGTGTTTCTTGTCAGCACAAAACCAGGGCTTGTGTCTGAGCACAGCGCAGCCTCTGGGGGGCTCTGGCCCAGGTACAGAACATGCAGCCCGCCAGGGAAAGCCAGTGTGAAATCCCCTTGCCCATGGGGGACATTGGTCACACCTGGGCCAAGCGGGTACGATGTGTTACCTGAGCAGAACGGCAGCATCAGACCCCACTTGGCCCAGGTGGAAGTGATGGTTCGTGGTGTGAGGCAGGGCAGTGCCACGCCTCAAGGGGACACAGCAGAACTGCCTGCAGGGAGCTCACACCGCACCTGGCTGGAGCCAGCCCCTCTGGTTCAATTTCATGAACAGATTCACCCCAAAGCAAATGGACATTTCCGGCCCCTTTGTCTTCACTGCAGGGGAACCAGGGGCAGCCAGACGAGGCTCATGCAGGAGGCAGCCGCAGGGCCTGGCTGCTGAGATAAAGCATTTCCTCAAAGACTCGGCAACAACTTTTAACCCTTCGCATCACCACAAAGTCAGGTTCTGCGGGTGCTTTTCAGAGCAGTTTATTCCCTCCCAACTCCCACAATGCATTGCACGCAAGTCACCTACCCCAGCTAGATACCAGGTGCATGGGCTCCTTAGCATGAACAGGCATATGCTTTGGGATGCTGTAACACCTGGCTCTCTGTGGGCCTGCAAGAGACTGGCCCTCTGGCTATGAGACCCACCCACCGCCCTGCATGGTCAGAGTTCTCAAGGGCAGTAGGCCTGGGTTTTGGAGCTGAAGGTCCTAGGATCTAGCCCCTGTTTCCCATGTACGTCTGTTATCTGCAGCACATGGACTCTGCACTGAACTTCTGGCTCTGGTTGCTGCCCACTGATTCCTTGTGTGGAAATGCCCATGGGCCCTGCCAGCATTTCATCAGGAAGGCCACGAGGCACCATGTCTCTTACCCCATTGACGAGGATCCACGGCACGTAGTTATGGGGTGGGTTGAGGGCATCGGTCAGTTGAGCATTGCGATGCATCAGCTTGTTCCCCAGATCGCCTGTCACGCATGAGTTGATCTCAGCCAGATGGACAGTTGGGGCATAGACCTGCAGGCACTGGGAGGGGAGGAGGAGTCAGAGAACCAGTGCAGAGAGCTGGTTACCCAATCCCCCACCACACAGGAAGGCTGAGGCCGGGGCTCGTATCTGTTCTGAACTCATTAACCCACAGTGCAGGCTGGAAGCAGAAGGAGCCCTGGGACTCAGCCAGTTCCAGGGGCAACCCCCCCGCATAATGCTAGAGTCTCCAGAGCACGTCCCAGTTCACCTGCCACCTGGGCGCTGCGGAGTGAGGGCAGGTGCCTGGTGGCAGCATAGCGGGGAAAGTGTCCTCACAGTCCACGTGGGATGGCTGAGGCATGGCTAGAAATGGACGTGGCCTTGTCACTAAGTTGCCAATGGCTACAGCCGGGTGTCCCACCAGACACAGACTGGCAGGAAATGCCAGCCCTTCCAGGCGCTGGGTCAAGACACTTGATTGGACCTGGGCAGGGGAACAAGGGGCAAGTGGAAGGAGCGTTACTGTGGGGTGGGTGCAGAGACCAGCTGGCTGAGGCAGCTCCCCCCCAGGACTTGAACCCACAGAGTTTTATAGCTCTGGGCCCGCCCAGCGCTGCCAACGTACAGCTTCAAGATTCTCAACCACAGAGCCCGCCGATTCCATGCAGAAGATCACAGGGAAAGAGTGATCGAAGTCCTTCAGCTGGTACATCAGGCAGGTCTGGAAGAGCAGGGCAAGCCACAGTGTTAGTGCCCTGAGCCCAGCGGGAATGCACCCAGGAGCCCTGCCTGAGGAGCCCAGAGAGGCTGTGCCCCTGGGGTTCTCCAGCCAGCAGAGCCCAGCGTGACCAGCTTCTCCTCCTAGGGCGAGGGGAATGGCTGCATGGGGAGCCCCGCACTTCACTGTCAACTGGGAAAGTCCTACGGAGTCCTTTCCCCAAGGCAGGACTAGGCTGAGAGGCCCATAACGGGGCAGGTGAGGGGCACCCCCCCGCAATCCGCTATCTGTGGAAGGTGTTGCTGCTCTCTGACGTTCACCCCGAGATGTCCTGACTGACGCGCACCCTCCCCATGGATCACGCCTGGGTGCCCAGCTCCCGATGCCAGCGCAGCTGCCCGAGTGGTTCCTGGACTCTGCTCTGCGGGGCAAGGGGCCTCCTTGCTCCTTCCCTTGGGCCAGGGAGGACGTGAAATTCAGCAGCTCGTGTCACATGGTGACTATGCTGAGGCCACACAGGGGACAGGGCCTATTTCCACCCCAGGCTAGTCCAGTAGCAGAGCCCAGGCAGATCTCACCATGGGCCCCACCTCGGGGCCAGAGACGAGGGAGCCCTGCCCCCTCCTCCCCCACCGCAAGCACAGCTAATGAGTCCAAGTTGTCCCTGGATCAGTGACACGGGGGTGGGGTGGGGTGTCCCATCACCTAACCAGGAGCCACTGTCTCCTTCCACCCCGCTATCCTGCACATTCCACAGGCAGCATCCCCCCCTCCCCAATCCTAATGCCGCGCCTGGGACCAGCCCCACCTCGATCATGTTCCCCCTGCACTCCAGTTCACCATGCTGACATTCGAACTGCCACTTCCCGCTGACGTTCTTCTCCTGCAAGGGAAACCGAGTCAGAGCCTAAGATAACACTACCCCCCCCATGCCTCCCCATGTGCCACCCCAGCACTCACTCTTCCCCCTCACCCCACAGCGTGTGCCCCACACACCCGGCCAGGATCAGGGCTGTGGGGGAGGGAAGACCAGGCTATGAGGACAGAAGAGTGCTGCAGCCCCTGCCCTTGGCTCAAACTGGGGTGCAGGTCCCTTTCCCGCCCCCCCCCCCCCCCCTGCAGCCAGAGGCGCTGGCGCTTACCTGGGCATTTCCGTACGGCACCAGTGTGATGTCCATGATGTCACTGAGCATCACCCAGGTGGGGAAGAGCTGGGTGACCAGGAAGTTGCGGCAGCCCGGGCACAGGCTCTCGTAATACAGGCTCAGCGACACAGGGTTGGCTGCCTGGGGGCGGTGGTAGAATTTGGGGCATAGCTTCTCCACCTGCGGGCAGGGAAAGATACGGGGAGGGGGGGATGAGCAGCAGGGTTGGGACAGACAGAACCAGGCCTGGCACAGACCCCAGACCGGCTGTGCCACCTCAGGGCTGGCCCTGCCCCAAAGAGCAGCCCCCAGCTCTGGTTCCGGCTCTGTCACAGACAAACTCGACGTGCACAAGGGGGTCATGAGCCTCCTGGGGCACGCGGAGGATAAACCTGGCCCTGCTGGGAGGCCCCATAGTGCTGCAGCAGCTGCTGGGCTTAACCCGCGTATGGAACGGCCGGCGAGGGACCTGGGGACAAAGTGCCTGCCCCAGAGGTGCTGGACGGACGGGACGGGGGTGCCACCTGGAGTCACGTTACTGTTTAAATAGCAACCAAGTGTTCTGGTGCCGACAGGCGCAGGGAGGGTCCCTGCCGGAGGACTTTGCTCTGCCCGGGCTCTGGCCTCCAGCCTCCAGCCCAGCTTGTTTGTATTTGAGGGAACAGAGCAGGGAGCCCTGCCAGCCTTCCCCAGGAGCCGGGCCAGAAGGGAAGTGAAACAGGACGCCGGGGCTTTCAGTGGGGCTTTCTGGGGAGATGCAGCAGACCCTGACACACCAAGCAGCCGCTGGGGCTTTCCAAGGGGATTTCCTCAATCCACTTGGTTCAAATGTGCAGCTCTGCTTAGCGAAGCGAATCCACACCCCACGGAGGGATTGGGGGGTGGGGGAGACATCAAGGTCCAGAGCACTCGAGGGCTCTTTTCCTTCTGGGTCCGGGAGCACATTCGGGCCCCTGGACTCTCTCCTGCTTCAACGTCCCATCAGGCCCAGTTCCGGCCTCTGTTCAATGGGCCGAACACAACCCAGCAACTGGGGAGTTAGCAGACAAGCCTGTGAGCAACACACGGCAGAGCCTGGCTCCCGTCGCCAGGCCGGGCCTGCAGGGTCCACAGGGACAGACCCCGGGGCTCTGGCT